GGGGGGGCAAAAATTGCTAAAAATTGTTGACGTAATTAATGGACGCCCCCTTATTTAAGGTAGGCGCTATTTATATATTAAGTGACGTCACCCATTAATTTCTTGATTTAACGTTTGCTCTGAACAAAATGCGGTAACTCGAATTTACGAACATTGTTACTGATTACTGGATGGACGAGACAAAAAATACACGGCTGGGGTGCATATTTTATTTCTTCGCCATGAACTACGGCAGAAAAAAAAAGCAAGCCAAACATACTAAGCCGAATGCAATTTACAATGTTAATTATTACTAAACTTTCTCCATTTTCAGATTTATCTATTTCGGATCGTTTAATGAAGTTTATGAAGATAAATATAAACAATTTTGTCAACCTACACGTTGCAGTTCAATAAATGAAGTAGAACTATATTATTTTAAATGCCTTTTAACATTGATAGGAGGTGAGAGACTTCGTAAAACAATTCGTATGGGTTGTGGAGTCTAGAAAAGGTTAGGTGAACACTGATGAAGATTTTAGATAGTGCTAAAGAAAAATGCGAATCTGGAAATATTTCCCCCGTTCTATTTTAATCGCTTATTTTTAAGATGGCTACCAAACAATTATAGTAGTATAGTCAATTCGGTCATTCAGCAAGGGCACTGAAAAATATTTTATTACACTCATTATTAGTGAGGGCAAAGTTTTGAATTAGATTCTTAGAATATAGTTATGTGCTATGATTTTTGTTATCAATTTTATATTTTTGACAGCTGGTAGGGAAAATTAAAATATGGCGAGTCGAGAACAGAGACCTTTTTTTGCTGGAGGAGGTAGGCCAAAATAGACTATAGACGTATTATTATTATATTTTATAATAATTATATCTGGCTAAAGTAATGGGTGGCTATTATTTTCAATGTACAGACCCAGTATTTTGGTCTAATTTATGAATTAAATTACACTAAAGACTTAATTACTTCTGGATGAATAACAAAAATGTGAAAGTGAATCATTGATCATCGTTTAATAGTCATCATTTCATAGTGTGATACTCTTGACTGTAGGCTAGATAATTAAATGTATGGTATAGAGTAAATTTTATTAATTTTAATAGAAGAGTCATATCAGTAACCAGGTAAATTCCGAGAGATCGTCCCGGGGTTTCCGCCATTTTGGTTGACACAACCAGTTAATTCTGTCTCTAAACCGTCTATCCCTAAATTCTAAATCTAGGTACTTTGACACAAAATTTAAATATTGTCTGATTGCCATAAATGATACATCATTTTAAAGGGCTAGCTATAAGCGGTTAAAGTGCAGTTCAGGTGCGTATATTATTTCTTAGCGCATTTCGTATTTTAAAATATTTTTATCATGTAAACTTACGTGTATTCTTTAATAATTAAATACAGGCAGTTATAGTTAACTAATTCTGGATTATAAATCGCATCTTTTCTTTTTATTTTACTTCTAAAGAGTCTTTAAACATCCCCCAACCAAAGTGTCACAGCCCCCATTTGTTTGTATTTTTCTTTTTACGCTATGCCAGATTTTTAGCCACCTATAAGTTAGTATGCTAAACGAAATTTTCAAACTAAGCATGTTCACAAAAAAGAATGAAATACTAGATTCTCAGAGAGCTCGGAATATAGGGGTTGTCCTTTGAAGTCGAGTCGGGGAAGGGGGGGGGGAGATTAGAAGTGGATCACTGACTAAGCAGTGGACACACACGTCATCATTGTCCTGGACCTGGTGTGAAGCTGATCACCCTGAAGGCTGCTAATACGCTGTCCATGATTGGTCAGCTCTAATTTGAGCACCCCCTCCTCTTTTTTCGTATGCAAATGCGCTTATTACTGGTGACTGATTTGCGCTGAGTAAAGTGAGGGCTAGTGATTATTTTTTTTATATTATAAGACAGACTCGTTTTGGCTTTGTGGTATTGCTGGTTGTAGGATCATTTTGTTTAAAATTGCAGGACGACCAAGAAACAATAACTACAATGCAACAGGCATTTTTAATGGTGCAGCATTTGGTTTAAACGCGCACCTTGTGGGGCAACAAATAACGTTAATACAACTGGAATTTCTCCTAAGGCGCTCGTAACAATTGCAATGTGGCTTGTAAGCTGGGTCAAGTATGTGAGCTCCCCATAATTACCGGGATCTGCATATCACCCGAAACGGGATCTCACCGTAACCGGTATCCCGCCAGGATCGATAACCCACTGGATAATCTGGATTAACTCACGGTAATCCCACCGGGATCAGGATCTCACTAGGATCAAAATCCTATCGGGATCGGAATGTTACCGAAACGGGATCCCACCGGATTGGGATCTCATTTAGTTTGGGATACCACCGGAAACGGATCTCACCAGGATCGGTATCTTACCGGGATCGGGATTCCACCATGACCAGGATTCTATCGGAATCACATCGGGTTCGGGATCCCATCATGATCCTTCCGGGTGCCATCGGAAAACGGGAAAAACGAAAGGTTTACATAAGTTATTTTAATTGTTTTTAAAAGGAGACAAATTAATTATTATTATTTTTACTATAGTCTTGTTGTTTTGTTGTTGACATTTCGTTTAATAGCAATGTGAACTAAAAGGACGGAACAGATGTTTTTGTCTGAATGCAGCCCCAGGCAATTCCGGTTATAGTTGATAGTAAAGTTCATTTATTTCAACAAGATTCATCCAATTGGGCAACTTTTATAAAGTATCTTTAAAGACAGAAGAGTTATCCTTGATTTACCACAATGGCTCCGTAAAACACGAAAGATTCATAAAATGTACTTTTTTTATCTCGTAAAATTTGTTAAATTGTTATTGTATTCCAATAAAAAGATGGTATATAACTTTTAAAATACTTTTTATAAAGAATTAACATAAGTTTACACGGGAAAATAAGAGATTCAAATAGAAATAATATACGCACCTGAACTGCACTTTTACCCTATAAGCTTTATAACAACACCAATTTCATCTTGCTATCTTTTATAGAAGTGGAGTTATGATTTTTTTGGTGATTTTTTACAACCCCCTTCTTTATCTCTGTATTTAGCTAAAAAAATGTGTGACCCACTTTCCAAATTTCTGACTTATTTTGCCCAAAACTTTTTTATTTTAAAAGATAATGCTACCAAATTTTCAGGTAACATTCTCAATGCAATATACAAGACAATGAACAACAAATCTTTTATATAACATCAAGACTTTTATTTTTTAAAATATTTTTTCGAGGGTATGTTCAGAAAAAGTGAATAGAAAATTTGGGAAAATCATTATTTATTCCGGAAAAAACGAAAAAAATAACATGTTTATTGAATTTTAACTAATGTTATTATGCTAGTGTTAAATTTTAAATTAATTATTATATTTATTTAAAGGTAAGTAAGTCTTTTTTATATATAAAATTGAACGCATGTAATTATATATAAAAATTACTCAAATAAAATCATCCATGATGATGAGACAAATTCATTAAAAATGTTATTTGATATATTAAATAATTGTCTATGTACTGCTTTTCTATGTTCTAATAAAAATATAATTACTAAGATGATATTGTTTGAGTCTTGTTTATTAATTTGATGTATTTTAATAAAACTTTTTTTATAGGCTAACTAAATATATATACTAATAGATTAAGTATAAGTGAAAAATATTGGCTTAAT